ACCATCACACAACAACTTCTTAGGTTAGCTGGTGGTATCCATGACAACTGATTAATCCAAACAAATCATAAGGACAAGTCATTCATAAGAAATACTTGAATTATTTATTTGTCTTCATAATAATAGGTGCATATATAATAAACCATAACACAGTCACTTCTTAGGTCAACTGGTGGTAGTAGTCATAACACAACAACTTCTAAAGTTAGCTGGTTATAGATGTGTCAATTGACTAATCCAAGCAAACCAAAACGACAAGTCATTCATTAGAAATACTTAAATTATTCATTTGACTCTATTTGTGATATATATACTAGTTAAACATCCTCAGCGTTCTGGTGGAGGACTAGTCATTCCGATAGGAATGCCGTAGTTGTTAGACTAGCAATATTATCCTTTATACCAGTTAAACGATCTGAGTAATTCAGAAGGACAAGCCATTCATGAGGATCATTTAAGTTAAACTCTAATAACCCAGAAGGACATGTCATTTATGAGGATCATTTAGGTTCTGTAGCATGCATCAGTTAACATTCTCAACGTTCTGGTAGAGGACTAGTCATACCGATAGGAATGTCGTGGTTGTTTTACTAGCAGGTTGATGATACACTAATGATAAACTTCCAGGCACAACATCGAAAGTATGTACATCACTATATTATGCATGAAGCATATAGTGCATAGATATATAAATATAAATATATAAAACATAAGCATTTTCAGAATTTAACCAGTATTATACATATGTTTACCTCTCTTTGGAGGATATACAGAACTACTCATGCCTCATTGCTACAGATAAGCAAGGAGTGCAGACAGTTTTCATTATAACTAAAATTAAAATACAGAATCTAAAATGTCTTTCACAAGGAACAATTGAAACACAATTACCTTTATTATCAGTTAAGACAAAAAAAAGTGACGGCAGTTCAACTATCCGAATAGAAAGATACAACAGAAATGTAAAAGTACAAAGTTTAAATTGAAGTGCATCACGGACTGGATCGTTTTTGCAATTGCTCTTTTTCTCTTTTTCTTTTCTCTTTCTCTTTTCTCTTTTTTCTCTTCTCTTTTCTCTCTTTGTTTCGGCCTGCTGAAGACTGAAGAAGGCATGGCTATTTATAGTCGTTTTAGGAAGCATGAGATAAAAAAAAATGAGGATAGTCATCATGGGTGACCGTCTGGATGCCACCACCACCGTCCAGACGGTGGAGCTTTGCTAGATTTGCAACTTGCAGCATGCTGACTCTTCTCTTGGTTTAATTACACTTTAGCCTTTGTATTTTCAAGCTTCCATACTTTGCTCCTTGTATTTTGTAGTAATTCTGCATTAAACCTGAAAATTTTAAACATAACACACATAAAACCCTAATTACCGTACAAACCCTAATTGACTTTAATTACTAGTTTTAGTTATTTTATCACACTAATTTGACTTTATTACTATTCTAATTTATATATTGATTAAGGTTAATCAATGGACACAACTCTATGTCCATTATGTTATGCATGTGTTCTATTGATTAGCTAGATGCTAGATCTTAATTTGGCACCCTTGGAGGTCGATCAAATAGAGAACTCGTGTTAGATGCTTGTAGAGCGACTAGGCTAAGATTTGTACATTGTTTGAGTATGACATACATTCTCATTAGGATCGAGACAATCTACCCTAGCATGTATTTCATACTACATATACTTGGCGACCAAATTAAGGAGGTGAAAGAATAGATCCTTGCTTCCTGACTCTATGAGTCCTATGAGTCATTTTTACATGACCAGGTTATTTTGTATAACCAAATATTCTATGTACTCTCTGACTTTTGACTATGTCATAAAATGAAAGAATTAATGCTTAGCTACTTTGGCATGTTACTTATGGCCATGAGTGATTCGGCCTTCCAGGACATTGATGGGAAATCGGCTAATTCTGAACTAAGTGACATGAGACCAAAATGAAGATCATTCAAAACATCCCGTGATATATTCACTATGAACAACTTTGGGCACTAGTTTAGATAGAGACAAAGTGTGAATATATAGGTGAAAGCTTTAAGGGGGTTAAGCATGCTCTTTTATCGTGAGGGACTAAAGATGCTTGAATCATTTTTTTAGGGTTGACATCTCTGTGCTAACTCTATAGAGTTTTTATTGTAGAGCTCCCAAGTTGCAAGTGTGCTTAGCAGTCACACAACCCATTAGCCTATATGAATTGACGTTGATGTATGTAATGGATTAAGAGAGATGACATGGATTAAGAGAGATGGCAGTGTCATACTCACCGTGAGTAAGTGGGAGATATTACATATTGGGTTTGGGTGATAGACCTAAACTTGGGTGCCCATGATGGGCCGGCCCAATTAGAGATTGCCCAAGGAGTATAACTCTTGGAGGAGTCCTTTACAACCAAAGGATGTGTCTGTTAAACCACTAACAGTCATGTCCTTCTCCAAGGCACCTATTGATTGCCTATATAAACTCTAAAGCAACCAATGGACATAATATAGAAAAATTTACATCAAATTTTCTCTCTCCCTACATAAAGTTGAAAGACTTTTGTGCCTGTGAAAAACTTGGTGTTGATTTCTATTACCTAACAACACCATATTGCTCGAGCAAACAAAGAAAAGACATGTTTTCAGATTCTAAAGAACGTGAAACATCCTTCAAAGGTTTTGGGATTAAAGCGAATTAAGATATATCTTTGATCCTATGCTTCCGCAATAATATAAGATTTCCAACAATTTTGTTAGCTATTACTATTTTTGTATTTAAAGACCTCTCATCAATGAAAAAGAGATGTTGAATTTGAGATAAACTTCTATGTGAAAGGTTTCAACATCGGGTTTTCCTATGGAAGTTTCCACCCTCTCGAAACAAATTTTATTTCCCTCAGTTGTATTTTCATTTTGTTTTTTATATCTAAAAAAAAATGTATGTATAACAATTGGTTTCGGAGCCGGCGATCTTGTAATGACAATATAAATGGAGATGTTTAAGTTAATGCATGATCAATATCAAAACACATTCAAGAGATTGATCGAGAAAAAATAACCTACTAGAAGGTTTCAACAAAATTTGATAAAATCCGTCAAGAAGTAAATTTGAATATCAGTTCATATGATCAAACATCTGGTCGAGTACAAAGGTGCACTATGGATGAGAAGAAATCAAAAATCATCAAAGAAAAGCCAAGGAAAGTGATTATGAGCATTCCAGTAGTCCAACTGATTGGTTATGAAAATACTGATCGAGTTAATTGTTATAAAGACATGGAAATGGGTTAGCCACCTCCTTTTTCTTCCCACATATCTCAACCCCATAGTGCTGAATGTATCATTGTTCGAATGATGCGACATCCTTCTAAAGTATTGCACTGCTCACTATATTTATGTTCTAATTGTTTAAGGCATTGTAGTGCACATCAAGAATATGTATTTCGGGGTGACATATTCACTGCCCAAGAGTAAGTTCAAGCATCCTATTTGATCCACTTTACATTCACTCTAATAGCGCATCTATAATGCATTGTGCATTAAGTCTACTGAGATACTCATGTTAGAGATGCCACACAAATACAAACACTATTTTTTTTATGACAATAATCAAACTTTGGTTACAAAGTTTTTCAAAGAGGGATGAAATATTACGTGCCTATATTTTATATGTTTATGTATTAATTTCAGATTTAGTAATTTGAAGCTATTTAGTTAGTGTTAGTGGGATGATGTTGTGTATACTCATTTAGGTAGTTGAGAAAAGGGTAAGTTGATCAATTTTTTTAGTTATTACTATTTGTATTTAAAGACTTCATATCAACGAAAAAGAGATGTTGAATTTGAGATAAACTTCCTTATGAAAGGTTTGGAGGTTAGGTTCTACTCGAAGTGTACTAATGGAGGTTTCTATCCCTTGTTTTATTTTCATCATTTTTATGTTATATTGTTTTGTACATCTTCAAAAAATGTGTATGTAACAAAGAAAGAAAGAAGAGATGAGCATATTTTAGGAGTTGTGGGTTGTAAATTTGACAGACTTATGGCACTTTGCTTTCAAGAGGAGGGTAGTTTAGTGCAAATATTTGAAGTTAGGCAAGGTTTTATGCAACTAGTCCCAAGACCATCTCCACTTCGTACTCTAACTGGTTCTAAGACTTTCTTCACTCCTTACTTTAATATAAACTCAAATTTAAATTTGGGTAAAAAAAGCTTAAAAACTCTCTAATCTTTGACTCAAACTTATATGAGATTTTTGGAAGCCAGTACATGAAATTGGAATTAATTGTCAAAAAGTACATAGGAAAAAATATTTTGAAATAGTTTGAGACAGTTTGAAATATTATTGGTCATTGGATGATGTCTTTTTTGATCTTGAAACGATCTGAACCACTATTTGTCTTTTGAATTCAAAATCGTTCTACTTTATTATATATATATATATATATATATATATATATATATATATACACACACACACATAATACTACAAAGTTACACTATGAATTCTAGTTTCTATTACTCCTACATTTTTGATACAGTTATATCAAAATAACAGAAATCTTTTTCTAAACTCAAATTGAGAGAATACCAAATCTTTTACTCAAATTTTTTGAACAAAAAACATAACCTTATTTTTCTCTGTGTCCTTGGTGTCTGTCCATTCCGGTCAAAACCTCCTTCATTTGCTTTATTCGTTCAACTTTAAAAGATACCATCAGTTTTAATCGACTTATGTTGAAGGATTCTATGATATTTGAAAAACAAAATTAAAGAAATGATTTTTTGGATAATATGAAATTTTTTTTAAAATATTTGAATTCATTTTATTATACCAAATTAATTTTTTACTTAATTTAATATTCAAATTTAAGTTTGAGTTTGAGTAACGCTGGATATGCCCAAAGTACACAGTTTTGTTTTGTAACTAACCCCATTAGATAATAAGCATAAAAAAAGAGAATCAGAAGTTTTGGGCCGATTTTGGGATCTCTGTTGTCGACGTCAATGGCGGACGAAGAAACAGAGCTGAGTGAGAAGCAGAAGATAGACATTGCCAAATGGTTCCTCCTCAACTCCCCCCCCGGCGAAATTCAATACGTCGCCAAAGGTCGCACTGGAAGTTCACTTGTATCTGTAGATGCATTGAATTTGTCATTTTGTCCCTCTGTTGTTGCAGAAATTGCATATAATTTTTGTTTTCACTGGCCTTTCTTTTGATTCAGTGAATTTATGCCCTTTTAATTTGGTGATTGCAGACCTAAGATCGGTTCTCAGTGACGAGAATGTGTATAGAATGGCTGCTTCGGAGGCGTTTCCTCTGTATAACAAAGCTCACATGATATGCCTCCAATTGCCGGATAGAAGCGGTGATGTGAGTCTTACAGTTGATCATTTTTTTGACTGTGCACCAACTTTCTGATTCTTACTTTTCTTTTGATATATTTATCTTATTTTCTAGTAGATTTTTATCAAATTTGGGGTCTGATTCATCTTTTTGAAGCTCTGATTGATGTGTATGTGAATTATTGTAGTCAGATTTTTGGTAACTAATGTTATAGGTTCTGATGAACAACATATTTTTACTATTTTCAAATTGAAAATTTGTTATACCACGCTGTAACTTTTGTTCTGCTAAAAATGCCCATTCCCCCCCCCCCCCCCCCCCC